TATATATATAAAAAAAAAATAGCACCGTCCTTCCACCTCATGATTATTACCTGATAATTAGGAGATGCATGTGCTTAATATACAATATGTAAAGTTAGAGCATTATTCTTTATTTTTGATGTCTAGACGCCCTTTCTCTCACCGACACAAGCCATAGACAAGCCATGTAGCTGCAGCGAAAAACACGAATCCCATTTTGCCCAAAGCTGAATTCACTGATTCATGCAGCAACACTAGGTGCTATGCATATGAAGCAGATTATGTCTGAACTCTTTTCCCTCACCTCACATGTATTATAGTCCTCAGAGTCCAGCAGCAGGCAGAGTTTAGGCAGAAGCTCAGGCCAGTTTTGCAGCTCTCCTTTGGAGGCGATGGTGGTGATGAGGATACCTACAGAGGAGAAGTCATTTAGTTTCACAAGTCAAAGAAATCTAATCTTACCAATATGGAGGAGCTTTATACAGCACTGGAAGGTGGATTTGAGTTAGACACAGCTGCAGCTGTGAGGTTTATGCTTTGCTTTGCAGTAGGTTCAAACAGCAAGCAATAAAAACCACAAATCATTTGCTTTCATGAAAGATTCTTCTATCAAACGAACCGCAGATCACAGCAGCTACAGGCTGCAAAGCCAGTACTAAGAGCAGGTGAAATGCATTTAGTAACAACATGGAACAATCAATGCTAATAGTGCTCGCAGACATGACCAGAATAAAGGAAATTGTCTTTTACTCTGGGGCCCCTGCTTATGTTTCACCTTTTAAACATTCCTAGCTCAGCCCCTTTTATAGAGAGAGGAGAATAAATGTGCAGGAGTTCAGAAAGGCCAATGTGTCGAAATCCATCTAGTTTTAGCTGCACTCCCACTCCGAATGTTGCTTCAAATTAGCAGCATCCTCTTAAGCTGCTGCAAACGCAGACAGTCGGAGGTGAAGCACAGCAGTAACAGTTGCTGGGCGGTTCTGCCAACACCATGAGATAAACCAGCCACGGTACTTCCCAAACATCCCTGGATGGAGTCGTTTTCTTCTTAGGAAGGAAAAAACATGGAGCTTCATGGCAGTCTAACGAAAAGCTCGACACATTCAGATGAACGTGCAAGACCGCATGGTGTGCATTTTGCATTTGGACTAAAATATATAAGCATCCTGCAATCGGTGTCTTAATTCATTTACATGGTTTAGACTATTCCACTGAGCCTGGGTTAAATAGATCATGTAGCATTTGATGCACCTTAGCCTGTGGTTTGACACAGATATGTCAGGCTAGGGTTTCTAACCTATTTCTAAGCAGCACTGCTCCTAAACCTTCAGTTAGGATTTTTTTTTTTTAATAAGGGGAGAAAGGTGAGTAACACTATTTAATTATATTTCAAGTACTTAAATAGAAATGCAAAGTATTTTGTTTACTAGTGCTCTGTTATATAAGAAAAAAACAAAATACAAAATCAGATTTCTCTTTTTTGTAAAAGGAAAAATGGAATAAAAAGAGGAGGATGCATACTAAAAAAACCTAAAATGAATAAAACATAAAAATATGGTTACAACTCCAGTTCTACAACAGATTAAGGATAAAAATAACTTTTTTTTTGTATAAACAACTCTGCAGACGCTCAAGTCAAATAATTAAGTCCTCTACATTTTAATTATAGACAGAAATATAACTTAGTGGTTCTCGCCTTACTAGAATAATGAGCTGAGCTGAATAAATAAACTTCACTTTAAAAATGTTTATTTATCCAACAGGGAAACTAAAATACCCTAATTAATAACCCCATTCGTTTATCTACAGAAAGTTAATTTGATAATTACTCTTCCAAAAAATGCATGAATAAACTTTTTTGTTTTAAATATAAAATAGCCTGCAGTAGATGATAACTAAATTAGATTTTTTTTCTATCTCTACTAGTCTTTGTGAGCATTAGCATCATATTTATTGAAATTAACTTCAGCTGGGGGAATCAAGGGGCTCCCAGATATAGTAAACACAAGGTTCTATCAAATACTGCATCCCTGCAGTGATTCAATATGCCGTGCTGCTTATGGAGATTTAGAACACACCTACACAGAGACTTTTTTTAAGCAAAGATGCAACAGCGCTTTATAAGACAGAAAAAAAATTAAAATCTACCATAAGCCAATCTAACACAGATGGGTGGAAACAAAGATGACAGAAGCAGGTTTTATAGAAAGATCCCTGTAGGGTGAAAGTTTAGGTAACTCACCCACAGTGGCTCGAATGAGGGGAGATGTGTCCCCGATGTTTTGGAGGCATTCGCTCTTGATGAAATCAGACACTCCGTTTGGGAAGTTCTGATAGTGAGCCTTCACATTGTTCTTCAGAATCAGTCCACTCAGGGAACGGGTCGGTTCATCTGTGGGGGTGGGAGGAGGACAAAGAACAGGTCAGAGGTGATTAGAGCTCACTGTGAGCTTACCGATGCTCAGTCGATCCAGGATTCCCTTTTAAAAACATGAAATGAGACTGGGTTGAAAATGCAGCAGAAGAACATTTTTAGAAAAGTACATTTGCATCATTTTTGTCCCCCTTTCTTAGGTTTTTCTTATTTTAGTCACACTTTAATGTTTCAATTAAAGTTTCCAAAATGTCAAATCTAGAAATAATGTAAATAGGACCCATCTGACATCATATAAACACTTTGGAAAAGTCAAAAATTCACATTTACTCAAAAAAATATATATAAATAAATCTTAATGACACAAAGACTTTTCAGCAAAAACTTTAGATAGAAAGCTGGACTTTATAAAGTCCGGTGTTTCTTGTCACATTTGACCTAAAACCTAAAAATCACACCAACACTGATCTTAGTAAGATCAGCCAGCCCACCTCTGAAAGGCTGAAGGATAAAATAGCAGATCTGAATATGATGCTTTAAATGGTGGAAATAAAACAAATCCAAAAAGCTAAAGATCTAAAAACACTAATTGGCAACACTCAATGAGAATGTTTGCATCATTGGTTAATATCCTTTTTTTACTAAGAACCGGGTTGTTCTGGATAGCTTCCCTCTGAATAAACAATATCAACATTTAATAAACAATTTAGGCTCATTATGTCCGATACTAAAATGCTTTTAATGGTCTGATGAATTAAACTGCATTTAATTTAAGAGCAGCGGTTAAAGCAGCAAATCAAGATGTCTCAACACCCTCCTGGATCTTTGCAGACAGTCATGCCAAACGCTGCATCTATGCCAGGAATCAGGTTTAAATTTAGCCTGACCCATATTCCCAGAGCCGCATCATCTATAGCAGAGATGCCCTTGGGTCACCCAAGTCATAGCCAGACGGATCCATCCCCCCCAAAAAGGTGCTGCATTAAATAAAATGATACAAACATGAGGTTAGAAAAAAAAGGAGACTGATAAACTGCTTACCTTCAGATTTTAATTTGGTCAAAACAAATATCAGATAGTTGTTGAAGTCTGGATACTGGTTCAGCTGCTCCAGTCTCTGAGAAAAACGGTTGAGGAAGACAACTATACAGATTTATATTGCCGCAATGAAGCACAACGTTTATTTTTTATTATTGTTTTCTTTTCATCCACACGGTGGAGAGGTAATAAGTGGCGGTTTGATGTTTCTATGGGTCATAAATATGTCATTTACCACGACCGAGCGCAGAGAGTACCCGACCAGATGGCGTCTTTAGGGCAATATCATGTATGAGCTAATGATGTGGCTCATATGAGGGGGGGAGGGATTACATAAGCAAGTCATTTAGGATCAGCAAGCAGTCACACAGAAACAAGTCAGCCTGGCTGAGGATGATCCGTTTCCTCTAATGTGAAAATACTCAGGCTCGTTTGCAACTGATAACTGTTTAAAAGTAAAACAATTACAGGGATTAATGAAGCTGCAATTAGCAAACCGTGCAGATAGTCCTTATTAAGTTCTCTGAACTTTTTATATTTCCCGCTCAATCTCATCAGAGGGTCATGAGAACGTTTATTCCAACATGTCTGCGCTTTATGATTCAAGGTTTGTTCATTTCTGGCTCTTTGAAAAATGAGACGACAGCAGATGTCAATGTGAAAAGCTCAAATGACAGCCGCTCAGGTTTAGCATAAAATTTAAAAGCTGAATGATTTTTGCCAAAAATTTAACTGGTATTGATTTTATTTCCACTATAATCTGCATAAATCATAAGCATGAAGACATTGAACCCCAGGGTTTCATTGTTTTCATGACCTTGAAAGCTTGCTTATTCAAAATCTATCAGTGAAGGACTTTACTGTTACTTCTACTAGCAGGCATTGATCCGCTACTAACTGAAAATCTATCTTCCTTTCTCTGTGGTGTCAAAGACTTTTTAAAAGCATTACCATCACCTGAAGGGCTGGAGTGAGTAAGTCGGAGTCTTCCTCTTTTTAAATGTAACGTGATAAAGGCTGAGTGCCTCCAACATTTGAGAAATCGCAATAATATTGCGCAGCACTGTACCACATTTCTCTGTAATAGACCATTAGATAAAGCTTGTTTTTTGTTTTAAACAGAAAGAAACAATTGGTATTAATATTTCTGTACCACTAATCTGATTACAGCAAACTGCTAGCTGCCTAACCAATATGCTCCTTAGGTTGTTCTCATTTGTAACATTCGTTTCCGTTCGTATTTCCGTATTTCTCAGAAGCATTTATCTCATTACGCTAATCCGGATTGGCTGGTGATCACAACAACTGCAGCTCTGTCCGACCGTCCGCTCTAACCCCTAAATCCCCCCAATCACTATATAGAGCAGGGACTATATAATGGACTTTATAATAACCTCAGTTAACTGACAGTTCGGACAGAAACATGCTCCCTGCTGGTCACATGACTCCGCCTAACCGCACGGTGCCTGCACTATCTTTGTTATTTGTCACTGTTGTCAGGTATGGCGACAGTGGGCAGCTGTGACAACAAAAGGCACAGCATTATGGGATAAATCTGCTCATCTAGTGACCATGGACTGTCACTACGCAATCCGTCCCGGAAGCACGATCCATTCTGCGCATGCGCATCTAGATATACATCTGGGTTGCCCTCGATTTTATTTTGTTAAAAAGACCTAAATTACGTTTTTCCCTTCCCAAAAATAGTAAACGTACTAAAATATAATGTGTTGAAGGTTAACGATGCATTTCCTGAGAAAAAAAGATTGATTTAAATCCTTTTTGTTTTATCGCTTGTTTCTGCCCGACCTGCACTGGAAATGGGGTCCAACGCTACTTCCAGAGGCTAACTTTTTAGCTTTTGGATTTAAACATAAATCTAGTCTTTTTGAGTTTTATGTTTTCGTTTAGTTTTAACCTTATGCTATATAGGCGTAAACTAAAGAAAGAAACAACTAAAATGCAGAAAAACATGCTTTAATTATATTTTGCCGGACTGCTCTGAGCATGTCTGATGATGGCGTCAAAGAGGTTTAACGAAGAAAATGTAAAAAGCATTAAAATTGTCTCACAAAAGTCATAAAACATTTTTTAAAGATGTGCATTACCATTCTTTGGTGAGTTAAGGATAGAAATAAGTACTTTTAGTACCATAATTACATTATTTATTTTATCAATTTATTTGCACATGTGCAGAACGGATCATGCTTCCGGGACGGATCAGGTAGTGACATGGACGATCACTACATTTTAGGGTGCATTGTGGGAAATTTCGAGTCCACTACCTTTTCACCCACTAGGGCTGTGTACGAATGTCTGCCCAAATCACTATATAGGACACTATATAGGGCCCTATATAGTGGTTACAACATTTTAGATGAATGTCTAAATGTCTATTGGATGAAGAAGCGGTGGACTCAAAATTTCCCACAATGCACCTTGACAATTAGTGATCAACAATGGTCGCTAGGCAAGCAGATATATCCCGGAATGCTTTATGAGGAGAGCATTACGGGACTTGTTGTCACAGCAGCCCGCTGTCGCCATAGGCTGTCGTTACCAAACAGCTATAACCAATACGCTAACTACTACATAGTGCCCTATAGAGTGGTTAGGGCGGACATTCTGACACAGCCTGAGTCACCTACCCTATCAGTAGCTTTCACCACGACGCAACATCATTCAAAAAACCCTTCTCGCTTCGAGGCTCATCTCAGACCAGACCTGCTAAACTGTCCATAAACAGTATTTTTAGCTGCTACAACTCCAGTCTTTCCCATAATCTGGAGGTATTACCACCTATATTAGCACACCAGCTAATATATCTGTTCTGGGCTGCTGTACCTTAATAAGAAGCACTGGTTGGGGTTTATCTAACTTTCCAGCGTGGGGAGAATCAAAGTTTGGCTTTTCTTTGCAGCTGAAAACACTGCCAGAAACAAAACAAGTCTTTTCTGTAAGCAAGTAAAAGTCCTGTAACCTCATTTTAAGGCAGCAAACAGGTGAGGAAATGGTAGCTATGCTACTCTATAGGCTCTATGAAGCCAGATCAAACCCTGAAAACCTTCCTGATATTTTAGTACCAAAACCTGCTATTAAGGAAAATGCTGTCATTTTGAAATGAAAGCTTTTTTAGTATCATTTGATTGAAAAAAAAAAAAAAAACATATGTACCAATTAAAGTGCATGGCAGTAAACTGTAAAAGAGGAGAATTAGGTCATCTGATCTGTGCAGAAATGTCATAGTGGTTCCTGAATTTAGGTTATTTTTAAGCTTTTGTAACCTTACAAAGCGAAAATAAGCAAATTTTGACATGGAGGTTGGTTTAAAGCAGAGTTACACGGGGATTTTATTCAAATTTATTCAAAGTGATTAGATTCTGTGGTAAAATAAATAAATCGCCTTTTTATGCAACCTAACTTAATTTTCAAGAAATGATTATAAATAAAAATAACAGAAGCTATACAATCACAGTTATGATAAAACCAAAGCTTTTAATTTAATGAGTAATTATAGAAATGGTTCAGATTATTATGAACAGCTGTTTACTTTAGATATATTAGTGTTTATATGTACATTGTTTGGTCATTATCATGTTTAAATATAAAAATCATATCGAGCACATATGAATTGCATTGAGTGCATGACCTTGTTAACCTCGGTGAGGTTTTTGTGGTGAAATAAAGGAGCTGAAAGGAAAACCCCAGCAGTAGGACAGGCGAACATGCTTCTACTGTTGACGCACATTAGCAACAGCTAGCCTGTTGAGTGATTTAGCTCTGTTAGAAGAAATAAACCCGATTCCTGTGTGGCTGAGGGAAAGGATACTTGCTGGACGGATCTCTGCGTGGACGTGTCTGGTGACTGAGACTCCTTTAGCAGCTGTAGTATTTGCTGAAGCCCCTGCTCGTCTGGCTTCCACTCACACTCCATCTTGCTGCTGCCGCGGATAAAGCAACAACATCAGAGCCAACGGCTTTTAAATGAACCACCCCGCCCTCCGTTAAAAGCCCAAACCGTGTTTGACAGAAACGCACTGTTACCTGCTCTGTCCTGGCCGACCTTTTCTCTTGTTGTGTCCTTTCTGTTCAAACGGGAGCGTCTGTCTGGGTTTTCAGACATGGGCCCGTTTCGGCAGACACGTCTGTTCTCACAGCCAGACGAAAAAAGCTTCAGGTCAAACAGCCCTGCGTTGATTATAGCCTCCTGCTTCGGTCAGCTGACAGCTGCGGGGTCCTAGTGCTCATCGCTCAGCCGTATATTTCCTATTTATCCATAGCTTTATATTATTATTGTTTTAATAAATTTCAATTCGCGTCAACAATTTACAACAAAGACTTTTCCAATGGATATTATTTATATGACAAAGAGCCCCATAAAATGTAAATCGATAAATTCCAGATAGTTCCTGAAGGCATCACAAGCAAGCCCTCTGCCTTTAACTGAACCAGATCTATACGGAATTCGTGACATTACTGTTTCGAATACGAAAATGTATTTACATTTAATATGATATTGATACGTAAAGGTATACCTTTTACCATTTTTAAATGTTTCAATTATTCATAAGAAAATGTATAAATAAAAATTATGACAGGGGCGGAGCTAGATGTGGGGCCAGGGGTGGCCATGGCCACCCTTAGCCTATCGTTAGCCACCCCTGTGGCCACCCTTACCATTTTCTTCCCTCTAATACAGATGGTAGCAGCAATAATACTGTCAGATGGAGTATTAAAAACTTTAAAATTTTTCAAATATTAACAATTACTTGACAACAAAACCTCTGTGGTTTATTATGCACATCAATATACTAACATTAAAGATGATAAGTACAGAGTTAAATCCTCTTTTCAGAACTAGATTTTGTGTTATAATGGGGTGAAGAGAAAATGCAAGTCATCTAGGAATCCAGTTAAGTTATACATAAACATTTTAATAAAAACATATTAAGTGATAAATTGATTAATTGATTGACTTTATTGATCTCACAGTGGAGATATTTACTTTATGTAGATATTAGTACTTGTAAATATAAATGTTATGAAGAGTAATTATTAGGAAAAGGAGGTAAGTAATTACAATGGAAAAGATGTTCGCCCCAGAACTCATACCTGAAAGAATTTTATCCACTATACCTTTTATCTAGGAAGTATTGATGTTTAAATATATGCTTATTTTTGTTAGCAAATGTTGTAGGAAAGTATAGTTTGTCTTTATTTTGAAAATATGAATGTTTTGCTCGTTAACTTTCCTATTGAACAGTATAGATTGACCCTCAGGTTCTGGCACCTATTCACTTTCGTCCACTCCTCAGTGTACATTGGTTATTGCCTGGCCATCCTTATAAAAAATTTCTGGCTACACATCTGTGACAGTAATAACACAAAATGGTTAGAGGGTCTAATGATTTTTAAATTGTCTCATTTTTTTATGCAGTAATGGGAAAACATATTAGGTCATCCTTTTATTCTTCATCCTCTTTATCTAAATGTATATTATGTTAAGAATACAAAAAACAACAACAAGTAGTAGTAGTAGCTTAGTATTTTCTTACTATAACTGCATAATTACAATTCACATAGTGTATAAAACTGTAACTGGAGCGTGTAACAAAAGTAACTTCCCTCTGGGATTATTAAAGTATTTCTGATTCTGATTCTGAAGAGTTCAAGAAAAGAATAAAGTGAGGAAGTGGCTGCAATACTAAAATCAGCAGGAATTATATGGATGCTGTTAATTTCTAAGGAGACTGAGGACCAAAGTGGTAACATGACCACAGCAGGCGCATTGATGAAGATTGAACAAAGTAAAGCAGATCTAGCAGATAGAACTCAGGAGCCAGGAGTAGAACAAGAGAACCCAACAAAGAGCAAACAGAGAACAGAAACTTGAATACTAATTTGAAATGACATGGAAAATAGGTGGGTGCAATCATCAGAAATAAACAAAACAGATCATAACAGATACAAATTCTGAGGGAGGTTATAAAGCGAATAAAATATATGTCTATGAGTAACATTAGGGTGTATGAAAGAGTTTCAGAAAAAATTATCTCAGATTTGCTAGGATTCCATTTTCTATGTTACTGCTGACCACATGACTCTGAGGAATGTTTTAAATATCTACTGCAATCATATAAAACAAACAAACACAAAAACAACACTGCATTCAGACAGCGCTTCCAACCCAGTATTTTCATTTTCTTCCACTAGGTGGCAGCACACACTAGAAATATGCTTGGTCCGCCTGCTTGAAGTGTCTGCTGAAGAAGTCACATCTATTGCTTCTTGTTTCTCTGCGTCTAGAGCAGCTGTGGCATATCGGGGTGTCCGAAAGACAAAGCTGCTTTCTCTATTGTTTGCTCTCTCCTTTTAAGTCTGCGCTAATAGTTATTTGAGATTTTCTTTGGTTCCGACTGAAAAGGCCGAGGAAAGAAGAGTGAGATTGAAGAGTTTGGTCCCTCTGGTGTCCATCCTCTCAGCCTGATTTTAAATATCGCCTTTTTTCTGATCTCCGAGGAACCATGAGCTTCCTTTTGTGAGTTATTATTGCTTGTTTGATACTTGTTTTTGTCTTTCTGATTGGGGTTTAGTTGTCGACAAAAAAGGGGACGACATTTCACAGCTGAAAGCTAGCTAGCGATCAAATAAACACGGGATTAGACTACTTCCTGGATCTGCCTTTTAATCGTTTTTTCTAATTTTGGGTGCGTTCTTTGTATTTTCGTATCTTTAAAATACTCAGATTTCCATTTACTTTATTCAACACAAAAATACATTCAGGATATTATAGAAACGTTGTTATCATCATAATACGAGTTTTAATCAGTTTTTCGTGTGGCCTGGTTATTTGCTGGTGCGTATATTGTGCTAACAAGTGCTAACATTAGCTTTGGGTAGATTATAGCACATTCGATCTTATTCTTGTGTAAGGACTGTGTTCCTGTGTAACTAAACATTTGATTACATAAAAAAAAAAACCCCAAAAAAACAAAGCTGGCTATGATCACTGGATTTGTACATGAAAGAAAGTGTTAAAGGCAAGCATAAATCAAAAGTATTTTTTTAGGTAAAGTAATTTTTATGATCACATTTCTTAAACAAACATTATACATTTTCTTTTTCTTAAAAACTAATCGAAATAAAAGTTGTGCTGAATTATAAATTTAATGGAGCTTTGTACTTTTAGGTTAAGGTAACCAAAAATCAACTATAAATTAACTATATTTATCATTTGTACTCTTTTACCATCCTCTGTTTTTCAAAGATAAGGGTTGAACAATCTTATTATAATTTTATGACATTGAAAGATTTCTTCAATAATACATTTTTTTTTAGATAAAACACAATGATACACTGTCATGGTCGATCTTCTTGAGCGAATAAACCTCCCAAATCTATGATTAGTTTTTCTCTATTTTTAATTAATGAAAATCCTTTATTTCTTCTTTTCCATTGACAGCCACACAACCATCTCTTTCATATCTGTGGTTCTAAATTGGCCCTTTTATAAAAAGCCACATTCTCTATGTTGTTGCAAAGCCTTTAGCTTTGTTTTCACATTAAGAAGGTTGATTTAAGATAAATTGAGGATAAAAACCTGTTTACAATCAAAATGAGCTGCTTTCACATAAATGCACTCTGAAGGAGATTATTGCAACTATGACTAAATTTGTCTTGAATTGAGTTTACTTTAGTTTTTAGATGTAATTTTTTTTGTTAAAAACTATTAATTAACCATTTAGTTATTGTTTGTATCAACTCAAAACAAACATAATGAGTTTATTTTTTTTCATCTCTGCCGACCCTTAAACCTTTGTATCTTCTTATCTATTATTGTCTAGAGGTTACAGTTCTGCTCAAAGACTAATTGATGTGGTAGTGAGACTGAGAGACTCAAAACCTACCATTTGGTTTAAGCACAAAGCCAGGTGATAGGGTGTTGGTTTAAAAGTGGTGTTGAGCTTTTAAAGTACCTCTTCACCATGCGAACCCAAGCAGTCCTTAAACAGTCATCCTGGGAGTAAAAAGCGAGAAACTGTCATAAACTATTCATGTAGATACTCATTCCCAGTTAAAATATGGCTGAATTTCTCCAACTAAAGATTTTTAACATCAGGTGTGTGTGTGTGTGTGTGTATAAGAGCGACTCTTCTACAGATCCCTCTGATCTAGAACTTGTTGATCAACCAGTCCTCAGATGACACAACCTCTCTCCTTTTTTTCCATTATAGGGAAATATTTTACGTTGCTTTGCTTGCATATTACTTATTTGCTTACACACTGTATAGTGCATATTTGCCCCATATAAAATGAATACCCTGAACTTCCTTATCAATGCATTTTTATTTTTTTTGCACCATGTTTTGTTCTCCCACACTGTTTACATTTGATCGCTGCTGCACTTTATAGAATGGAAATGTTCATTTACTGTCTGAAATACTATATTAAGCGAAATTTTGTTTTTTTATACACTCTTTGTATACAAAATGACTATAAAAATTGTCGAAGTCTAATATTGATGTAATCTAGTTGAAACATTTGTCATGATAAATAGGTTTTTATGTGTTTAGAGAAACGATTAGAGGGTTTTTTTTGTTTTGTTTGGAAGCCTTCGGTTCATTTTGGATCTGCTTTGGCAAACATTGTAATTAACAGCCCAGCATTTTGTTTTGTTTCTGACCCGTGCTTTGATGCCTGAAAGACTCTTCTTTAATGGGGCAGTGTGGGATGAACATGGCCTCATTAAGCACAGAGATGTACTGTTCTTTCCCCCCCTAGATTTTTTTTTATAGCATCGGCGTCTCCTTTGTCAGTTTAAAAACCCGACATCTTGACTCTGTTGTTGTTTAAGCCGACTTTTTTCCCCTCTGTTTCTGTAAAGTCATGATCTCTCATCGAGTTATTCGTGTCTCTGTTTGTCGTCTTCTCCCCAACGTGACCCACAGTGGAAACCGTTCATCTAAAACTTTCAAGCCTAAGAAGAATATCCCAGAGGGTTCTCATCAATACGAGCTGTTGAAACATGCCGAGGCGACGCTGGGGAGTGGAAACCTGCGCATGGCGGTCATGTTGCCGGAGGGGGAAGACTTGAATGAGTGGGTCGCTGTCAACAGTAAGTCCTGCCTTTTCCCCTCCTCTGACTCATCCTTTTTCTGCTTCAAAGGGCTTTATCTCAACACCTGTTATTCTGTTGTTTTATTTAAAACATTTCTACTCTTGGCTTTGAAATGTCAGTGTCTAGGTCATGAATCAGAGAGTGGACTTTCAGGATGTCAGATCTTGGCTGTCCCTCTAAAGACTGTGTGCTTTTTCATGCCAGACAGACTGCTGTGAATGTTAAATAGACTTTATTGACCATTTGGTGAGAGCCTTGTTTACTTTCCACTAAGCAGCAGAAAATGGCTGTTTAAAGGTAAATTCCTCCCTCTGTGCACTTTTTTTTTTTTGAGCAAGACAACATGCAGGCAAATGGTTAGTTCCAAGACTTTTTTCACTGTGATGTTATCCTGATATGTAGTTTTTATTAGAGTTTGTTGCACAAGCTCTCCTGACTTTCACAATGAAGGGAAGTTGCTATAGATGTGCTGCTAGCGGTCACTCCTCTTGTCACCACAGCTAACGGACTTTTCACATGATTGTTGCTCATGAGAAGCTGCAGTTTTATTATATATGTTGTTTCTTTTTATATAGAGTATAATCGTTCCAGATTTGCCTTTTTTGTTTGAATACTGATCATTAGAATACCTCACTGAAATGTTTGATACACTCGGAACGGCAACTTTTAAATAAGTGCAAACTTTTTTTTGTTAAACTAAAGAATTAAATCACCAATTTGTAAAGTTCTGGTTCTGTTGAAACAGCAAAACTTCTTTTTTATTCCTTGCTGCACCAATATCATCTTACTTTTTGTCAATTTTATCCCACTCCTATTGTGTTCTTTTACCCATATTGGGAGGCGACGTTTTTATCTCCCAATAAAATGCAAACTACCACATTAACCTATTGAGGCACTGCGCATAGACATGGTAACAGTGCTGCATTTTATTGGGGGAAAAAAAACCCGGACCAGTTCTGCTCGACAGACCAGCTGTCTGGAGAATCCTTCTGAACCTGGACACTCCACCCTGCCTTCAAAATGATCACAGCAGATTCTAGATGTTTCCAAAGGCCGGTCTCTGTTGGTGAAGTTTCCAAGCTGTACGGTTCATGCTGACATTTAGCATTCAACTCCAACCGAGTTTGATAATTTTCCTGGATTGTTGGTTAGCAGCGGGAACATCTTCTTGCTGTTGAACATCTTTGAATGAACCCAACAGGAAGCAACCATTGTAACAGCAATGCTCCAAGATTAGCGTCAAAGGCTACGTTCACACTGCAGGCCTTGATGCTCAATTCCGATTTTTTTGTGAAATCCGCTTTTTTTGCGTTGCCGTTCACATTTCTAAATATATGCGACTTGTATGTGATCACCTGTGTGAACTACAGTCATACAACGCAAGTGTCCCGCATGCGCAGTAGAGGACTCAGTAACATCACAGGCCAGCGTGCTCTATGTTTACGGAAGTAAACATGGATGGTAGTGCCGGAGCGCATCTAGCGATCTCTCCCAACCATAAATACACAATCTTTTCAAGATGGTTAAACATAAATACTGCTCTCCGCATCATCACCCGCCATGGTTGTTGTTTTTCTTGCTGCTTCTTCATAGCAAGACCCAGAATAGTGACCTTTGTCGGGTATTAATGGCGTTCAGGTCGGATGAATGTGACCTGACCCTTCAGACACAAAGATATGATTGGTATCGGATTCAGGACCACATAGCCAAAAGGCCTGGATCGCATTGGAAAAATCGGATCTGTGTCGTTCAGACTGCCATGAAGAGATTCAGATTCAGGTCGCATATGGGCCAGAAAATCGGATTTGGGTCACTTCAGGCTGCTGTGTGAATGTAGCGTTGTGCCACAAGTGATTTTTGTATTGCAAAGGTAACCTTGCACTGCAAGCTGGATTGTCTTGAGATCTAAGTTTTCAGTCTCACAACAAATCCATCTTGAGACACTCCCGCTAATACATTTGTCTCATAACAACCAGCGAGTCGGCCCAGGGACATGCCAGCAATGTTTTTTAGGGGCGGGACATGTAGGAATGATGACACTCAGAAGGGCCTTGCTGCAGCATTACAATCATAGCTACGCTGGAGGATTCAGCTGTCGATACTGCAATTGACTCGATTTTAGCTAGAATTGCAACAATTTCTCGTTTAAAAAAAAAGGAGCAAAGAGAAGCACTTTGTGAATTTGTAGATTGGAAATATGGCTGTGCTTTCAAGTCCAATCTGCTAGTTGTGAAAACACTCAAGAAGCTGCAGACGAATCCTGTCACAGTTTGCTGCTACAATTGGCTGCAAGCGTATTATTGAAGGCGGGTACTAGCTGGCACGTCACCAGTCAGCTTGAAATATTGTACTAAATATCCCTCCTTTTCACCGATAGACTGAAGTGCAGCCATCCCAGATTCATTATATAGAACTCAGCTCAGTTCTACACATATCCATCTGGATACTGCCAGGTTATTGCAAAGGGTCAGCAAGATATAAAGAAATGGGGACACCTGAAAATAGATCCCAGATGCTAAGCTGACGGTGATCAGTGCAGAAATTATGTTGATGGAAAATAAAGAGCTGTGATGGAGATTATAATAAATAGCAGTGTTGAAATTGTCAACACCAGCGTGTCGTTTAGTCTGCTGTTGTGCAGCACTGTTTGTAACCATAAGTCCATCTGCTGTGATGAATAATATTTCCTTTTTAATTCTTATCTTTATAAACACACATGACAATACGTTGACTATAGCAACAAATTCAGCTGGTAAATGTGATTTGGCTCAATCTTTGTGTTTTGGAGAACTGCAGCAGTTGGCAGCCAGAGCAAAGCTGGAATATGATGATAAATAATGACCTAAGTTCTTAGGAAGAATTTATGGTTGAAATAATTCAAACCTTCTTTAGAAAATGTCTTTAAAAGAACCAAACTGGGTAAAATGGTTGATTAGGCAAAATGAAAACGGCAAACAAGTTATTTTACCTTAATGTTTTTAAAAAAACAACTTTTCTTAAAATTTAAGGAGATTTGCTTGGATGATTCACTTTCCTGCACGATAATTGGAGGCTTAAATCTTGAATTATGTATCAGATTTAAACCTTTTTTGTGTTCATAACTGGCTGTAGTCTGTGCTAAAGATGCCCTGATCGGATATTAATATCTGTACGGATCTGATCCATCGGGACTGATGCATTCAGTCTATTTCTCTAATAAAATTCAAAAGGTAAAGAATCACTTGAATTGCAGAAAAGTTTTTTGATTTTATCAATACTGTCATTTTGAACCCTTAGAGTTGCATATTTGTTTTTCAGGGTTGAATCTGTCCTTTCAAAGAAAGTTTTTTTTATTTTTTTATTTAGGTTGCTTTTTGGGATAAACATGTACATTTATATATCATACTTGTTTTTTAAGGGGGAATCTATGACTGCTTCTTTAAAAATACAACAGTGATGATGATAACAGAAACAAGCGGCTCTGTGTCAGAACAGTATCAGGATGTGCAGATATCCAAATTCAAGAAACAGAAGTGAAAAAATATGGATCGGTGCATCCCTAGTGTTTGTTGATCATCTAGTTGAGCGGAGAGAGACTTGCTTTGATTCTCAGCCTTTTTTCTTTTCACAGCGGTGGATTTCTTCAACCAGATCAACATGCTGTATGGAACCATCACAGACTTCTGCACAGAGGAAAGCTGCCCAGTCATGTCTGCCGGTCCAAAGTAAGAGCACCAATCACATCCACTGCTTTCTAATAATCATCTGGATTTCCCTTTTCTTCAAACTGCATCACTTCCAACACGGTGGATCCTTTGTGCTTTCTTCATTTTTTTGATATGAATAAAAGTAAAGAGAAAACTTTTTTTTTCCCTCCATTGCTTCTATACTTTTCCATATAGATCTTTTTAATTACAGAATAATATCCTGGCCGTGGGCGTGCTTTGGTGGCGCAGTGGTTAGCGCTCACAACCCATGTATGGAGGCCTTAGTCCTAGACCCGGGTGACCCGGGTTTGAATCCGGCCTGTGTCTCTCCACCTCTCTCATACCCCCTTTCCTGTCAGCCTACCATCCATAAAAAGGGCCACTAGTGCCATAAAAAACTAAAAAAAAAATTATGATAAAATCCTGACCTTTAACCCCTTGATGCCTAGTGTTGCAAATATGCAACAAACTGTTTTTAATCATGCAAACAATTGCATGCGCATTCAATACAGGTTAATCCACATTTGGGAACCTTTGCCAAGGATTTGTTTATGGTTAAACTGGTCCCTGGCCATGTGTGTTATTCCTTTTCCTTATGTTTTGTGCAGTTTTCAGATTAACAGTCTCTATTTGACTTAAAGGCAAAAATAAATGTGTCAAGGAAGGGCTTCTTTTTGGTCCTGCTCAGATCCACCTGGTCCAGATCAAAGTTAAAAAGCAGGGTTCCCGCGGGTCCTTAAAAAGTCTTAAAAGGCATTGAATTCTTCAAATTAAAACTAAGACCTTAATTGGTATTAAAATGTCTTAAATCAGTCTTTCGTAAGTCTTAATTATTAAAACATCATAAATAGGATTTTTTATTTTTTTTATTTTTGTAATCTAAATAAAACGTTAAAATTGCCTTTTTTTAATAAAAAAAAAAAAAACAAAAAAAAACAATGGCTCGCTATTATTGGTTCCGTCCCGATAGCGGAACCAATAAAAGCGTTGTTGCGGCCGGGACATTTGGGATTTACTGTTTGTCTGGAAAATATGAGCAAGTGTAAATGTAACCAAAATTGGCTCCAGCCAAGAGTTTTCTCCATGGCTAAAACCAGTACCAGGGAACATATATGAGGCTCAGTGGATTTTGTGCAAGAAGTCATTTAAGCTCGGAACGATGGGAATTAAGGCAGTGGAGTCGCACATGCGAAGTGCGAATTACAAAGCGTCAAAATCAAGTTACCGAGAAACAGCCGGTATTTCTCTGTTTTGTTTCACCCTTGTCTCTGCAACACCTCCACTTATCACCAAATCAAACATACTAAGAAAACCATACAAAGAAAAATAGCTGCAAAAAAGACTTAGCACTGGTTATGTTGTGGCTTTAAAACAGATTTGTTTTGTTCCCTGCTAAAACAAAGTTTGTGAATTCAGTTAAATAATTGTTAAAATATATCTGTCATTTGTGTGTTTTTAGCTTTCTTCCTGTATGGGAGGCTTTTTAAAATTTGAAACATTAGTGTAGTTGTTTATGTTAATATAAACCGTTGGGTAAAGTTGTCGCAAGCGGGTTTTTCTTGTGTTTCTTGTGAATTTGGTCTTAAATTTTTATTTCAAGTGGCATTAAAAAGTTTTAAAAAGTCTTGAATTTAACTTGCCTGATGCCGAAGGAACCCTGAAAAGGCTAACTGATGAGGATTTAAACCTGCAGCCACCAACAGAGTGAAGGGCTCAGCTAAACAATGGATGGTACATGCTTTAAAATGCTTTAACTACATTAGTAGTAGTATCTGCTTCTAGTACGGGGGGGGGTTATTTATAATGTTATGTCCAAAAACAACCAAAAAGACACTGATAAGTAATTTGGAGGCTTAATAATGATGCTGACTTATTACAATGGTCATCGGCCAATCTGAGAGACCTAACAACTCATCCTGCTGCCTCACCAGCTGATGTTCACCAGGCGTTCTGCACTGTGATGACAATTTTACATTAACTGCCGCCAGGTCTGCTGAGAATGAACATCTAATGGCTATCCAGGTCGTTCTTTCCTCTTTATGTTTGCTCACACGCGTTTATTCTGAGAATGAAACATACGTTTTCGCTGTGCTTTCTCGTAGGTATGAGTACCATTGGGCAGATGGAACCAACATCAAGAAACCCATTAAATGCTCAGCTCCAAAGTATATTGATTACCTCATGACGTGGGTGCAGGACCAGCTCGATGATGAGACGCTTTTCCCTTCAAAGATCGGTAGGATTTGCTCCCTGGTTCCTTCCTTTCTCTGTAAAGTTTTATTCTACAGGCTGCTTTCATGTCGCTGCTGGAAAATAAAGTTCTCTGAAAGAGAAAATAGTTTTTTTCCCACTTAATAAACTGATGCTGCAGCTAATAAAATGGAAATCCCGAACCTATAAAGTAAACATGACCCATCTTATTTATGATGCCTTCATGTTTACAGTGAAACTCATTAAGTTCCCTATTCTCTTTTGCACATGGAGGCAGTTCCATTTTACGCTATTTATTTTAGCATTGGTACATTTCATGCTTCTGCATGAGGGACTTCATAAAGGTTCATGTTCTGTAATTTGTGGCTGAAACATCCAGTCGTGTCTGAGCCCCTACCAGCTGAGGCCTGTGTTGGTAAGGGTGGGGTTATTTTTTTTAAAGATGCTGGCGCCCAGCCTAAATGCCAGCTGTAGTGTCCATCTGAGGGGAAGAGCTAAACACTCTCTCCCTCTGGCAACAGATTTTTTTTATCCGTTTTCTTATCCATGGAGCAGGAATGACGTCCACACCCTCCTCTGGGTGTGTGGTATTCTGGAGCATCCTGTGTGCAAAGCAACATGCATCAAACATTTAATTAGCTGTGCCGCTTAGCTTTAAAGGTGTATGATTGTTGATGAATTAATAAATGTAAAGCCCAGTTTAGCTGTAAGCAGCAGTGTAACTGTTCTTATTTTAGTGGGTTTGTTAAATAATTGATCCGTAGAGACTCTTTGTGTGCATTTGTGCTCAGTTTTGCCCACTGTGTCTCTGATCTACATCGCAGTAGAATAGAAGAGGTCTGTCTGAACATGAAGGTGTTTTCCATCCTGGAGATGAATGCTTAACATGTTGCTGTCATGATTGTTCACACTTTCCCCCGATCATGCCGCAGCCTGCCAGCGAACACTTTTGCAATCCTGGGGAACATGCTGTCTCAATCTTGTTCCTTCTTGCTTTTCCTGTGAGCTGGGCTAAACGGATACCAAGGCTTCATAACCATACCAACTCTTAGGGTTTTAAATCTAATGGGCGCCTTGCAAAATAGTTTCTACTCTGCAAGTTTCCTAATTTGACCTCAAGGCAAATATGAAATATCGATCGGGGTGATGTGACTGTGAAGTGTAGAAAAAACGGCCTCTGAAGGTGAAGGCTAAACACTCTGTGTCAAGAGTTCTGACTTCAGAGCCATGCAAAGTTTTGTATAAAGTATTTCTCCTTATAGACCTAAATGATCTGTCTTTTATTTCCAAGGCGTTCCCTTTAAGCGCAACTTCATGTCCGTGGCGAAGACCATTCTGAAACGCCTGTTCAGGGTCTATGCTCACATCTACCACCAGCACTTTGACTCCGTCATGCAGCTGCAAGAGGAGGCCCACCTCAACACATCCTTCAAACACTTCATCTTTTTCGTTCAGGTAAAGAGTCTCGGATATTTTAAGGAATGAGTCAAATATCTACCCATGTGGATTAAAAGCCTTTCCTGACTTTTCTGCTTTTGTCTTTTTTTTCTCTCTGTGTTTTTAAGGAGTTCAACCTCATTGACAGAAAAGAGCTGGCTCCACTCCAGGAGCTGATTGAGAAGCTGACCACTAAGGATAGATAAACACCAATGCAAACTTGTATTTTATTGTTCTAGTTTTTGCACAGATACCCAACCCCACCCTGGCTGTATGTATGCAGTATAAACTACGTGGATTTCCAAGGGGGAAATGTTTTTAATATTGCCAGGAAGCAGACTGGGTTTTTTTTTTGATAGGTTTAAGGCACCAGGACTAATTTTATCAGGGATTACAGATTTAATTAACAGAGAAAAAAAACATTTAGGTGTATGGAGAATAATCCCTTGTATCAACACACAATGATTTAGGATTATAGAGACATATATTGTATGTTCTTTCATTTTCTCTTTTTCTTTTCTCCGATGGTTCGACACACTCATAAGGGAGAGGGACAGTATAGATTTTATGGGGAAGATTTGAGCCAGCTTTGAAGCTTATTCAATAGTTTTACTCTTATCATTTCATTCTCAATGAAAAGGTCAGACTTTAGTTGAGTCTTGTTGCCATCAGTACAGAAGAACCCTAAGTGCCTAGCACGGCTCGTTGTCGCCCTATATCAACAGTGAGAACTGTAAAAAGATTTAAGGCCATATTTGATCAGCTTAGTTAAAATTTTCCACCTACCTCCCTTTAAACCCAAATAGCCCTGACTTCTCCCTCCTGTCCCATATCTTGTTTTGGAAAGTCTCCCTGCTGTGTGCTCTTGAGAGGGTGATGATTAAATGAATGTGTTAAAGGATATAGAAGTGAGATTAGAGCTGTTTTTTTGTCATTTTAGAGCAGGGACTAATAATAAGCTTTTAGGATTGTCTAGTGACAAGTCCCTGTGTGCTAGTTTACCCACCTGAAACCTTTATGTAGAAACATTTCGCGACGGATCCAAAACCTTAAACTGTACATACATACCTGCTGATAGATACAGATAAATATTTAACCTCCACCGTTTTTGAGAACTGTAAGCATTTTGAGTCAGATGACACCACATACTGTACCTTGGTATCTGGATAGCCATGAAGCACTTTGAACAAGTTTTTTAACCACTCTTGCCTGAATGTTTTTCTCTGCAATATGTTGAATTTTGTGAGAAGCACGCATAGTACTGTTATAGCTTCAGGTTTTTCAGACCTATGATTAATTATTTCTGAGATAAAACTATTACTGTCTTAAAACATTTTAGGGTTTACTTTCAGCAGCCATTTTTTAAGTTGGTATATAAAGCCCTGCCGCGTCCTGATCTGTTGGTGTAGACTTTTGGTTGGGCCGTTCCAACATTTTTAGGTCGTCCTTTTGTTGATTTGAACTCACTGGAATGCTAAAAAGAACCCAGACGGCTTTCTGTGAGAGTCTTGATCGAAAAGGACTGTTGTTTCATGCAGGCACCCAGAAACCAAAGGTGTTTCTGAAGAAAGGTAACCACAAAGCATGATGCTGCCACCAACGTGTTTCACAATAGAAATGGTTTTCTTTAGAGTATGTTTCCCTGTGAAACATACCGTTCGAGCCAGTTTTCAGAGAAAACCTGTCCAGTTTCTTTCTTCTTTTTTTTTTTTTATTCATACATCTAGTCCAGGCATGTGAATTATAGAGGAGGTTTTTCCTCCCTTATTCCCTCTGTTACAGTCTATTTTATTCCATCTGGAAAAATGCCACTTTAGTCTCACATTTTATCCAGGTAATAAATGTCTCATTAACTATAGAAACCTCTGGAAATGTTTATCAGGGTCTAAGTCTTAAAAACCTGAATTCTTAACAGTATTGTGTAGTTTTGAGTTTTCCTGCTGTATCTCCTTCCTCATATTTTACCAAATGAATGTTAAACGGATCGATTTCCTCTGAGGTTAGCTGTAGGGCACAACTAAGGTTTCCTTATGCTTATGTGTATTTTTTTTTTCCTATTCTTTAAATTATAATACTTTTGTGCTTTCTCCAGCCGAAGCATGCTCCCTTTCCTAATGTCAAAGTTTAGTTGCTATGCAATGACTGAAAACAACACTAAAAGGATTACCAGTTGGCGCTTTCGTATTCTGAATCTTATACAAACTTTCTTAATAGTGCTTGAATTTGGGTCAGACAGAAATGGAAACCCCTCTCTGTCTGATTTAGTAAAAAAAAAAGGCATTTGAACGTTTTATAACAGTAATTTCTTGGAAGTAAAAATGATGCACACTTGTAAATATTGAGGATTGACTGATTTCTAAGTGAGCATGAAGTGGTGGCTTTTTGTTAAAATAATACATCGAGTCTTTTTAGAGGCTGCTTCGTCTCCTTTATTCAGTTATTGGAAAACTCATGTTTTACATATTTAAGATGTTTGTTTCACTTTCTTATCTAATTAATATGAATGTTACTGGTCAGCAAATACTCTAACATGTAATAGAATAACCGGTCATCCTCATGAAATGCCCATAACAAAACCTCCAGCCTCCATTTGATCCTCTTTACTTTATCAATTGATGAGATGTTTGTAAATAATGGCTTGATATGGATTTTCAGTGCTACTGAATTGGTTATGCTGTTTACAAGGCAAATAAAGGTGGTCTTGACTCGCCGAATCTTGTATTTTTACTGTGTACCCTGAGTTTAGCCAGACTAGATTGGAACAGAGATGCTGTTACTTCATCACACATGGACAAATGAACTGCATTAAAAGCTTATAAATAACCCCTTATTAATTAGAATACATTGTGTAATATCTTAGATGGCAAAAATGCAAGACAGTGTTTTCCATGCAACGCTTAGTTCTGTATGAAAATGGATAAGTTTGATATAAGAATGAAATTATTAATGAAACATTCAAATTTTCCACATTTGTCATGTTACAGCTAAAATTGATGCTTTTGGATCAAAATGAAATGGCAACACGAAACACGTAATGGTCAAGTTTACAGAATGATTTTTTTAGGGCTGAAATGGTTCTTCGGATTATTTGGGATTATTAGATTTATGATGATCTTTAATTTAGTAAGTGATTAATCATAACTGGAGTACAGATACTTTAAAAAAATATGTTTATCTTACAGAGCAACTCACTCAAAGCAGTAATTACTCCAACATGTTTTTTTTAAATGTTTAAAAAGTTTTTATTTTGTTCTTTAAAATGCTCTTACCATAACTTCTGAAGTGGAATAGGTTAAGTTTCCCCTGGTTTAAATTCTGTAAACCAGGGGAAACTTAACCCATTGGTATTTTATTCAAAATGAGAAAAAATTACTTTTGCACCTAAAATCCAGCCCATACTGATTTTTCTACAGTCACAGCTGCACATTTGTGCAATTATTTATATTAAGTTTAAACTAAATATAGGGAGAATATATTGATTAATGATGGGATTTTGTCTGCACTTCATTTAAGTATATTAAGTCACAATTCTTTTTTTTTTTAAACAAGCGTCTTTTGATTTTTTTTTAGTTCATAATTATGCACTACTTTTTTGTATAATTGTTGAGTTGTGATAAAGCCAAATAAAAAAATATCTGGCCACAGGTTTGCATTCATATGGGGCGGGGAGGTGAAGCAGAAGTTGGAGTGAGTTGTAGGAAATATTTGGTTCAGAGAAACAATTAGGAAACTTAGTAATATGAAAAGTAAACTTGACAGTGTTGATTTACTGCAAAAGGAATCAGGAAGCAGAGGATATCAGGTTATATTGGAGTTTTTGAAACAGATTAAATGTATAACAGGATATATATATATTTTATTTTTTTTTATTATTTTTTATTTTTTTTTTGCCATGCGATCCACACTCCTTACCAGTTGGTGACAGTAATGCTCACCTAACGTTTTTGCAAACCGCCATACAAATTTCAAGAAGAAGAAGAAGCGGAAGTAGGAGGGCGAACAGCTGCTTCCGAGGATCTGAATGACACGCCCACCACTTCCGGTCTCTCACCGCCAAAATTGAAACAACAACGAGTCTCCATCAGCTGCAGCTGTACCCGCAGTGCTCTCCTTCATTTTTGGCCTGTTTTAGGTGCAAATACTAAATCTCTAAAGATGCCTTCCATACCGAAGAGACCCTGCCCCGACGCCATGAATGACTCCATGGAGAAAAGAATAAAGCGCATTTCTATCGAAGGAAACATTGGTAAGTGCAGCTGTCAAAGAATAATAAGAATAAAATAAAGTCTTAGACAACATGACTTACCATTTTTATTAGTGCATATTAAAGTATTGTGGCAGGTGGTTATAATTAGTTTCTATGTTTTTCGGGCGGTCGTGTTACTTTGGATCTAACGATGTTTTGCCGCCAAATTATAGTCATGCCCGCTTAAATTCACTTCTTGCTTTATATATAAGGCCGATTGCAAAATTTTGTGTCGCAGTTTATAATTATATTACATTGTATGACCGTAACTGAATTGAAAAAAAATATTATTTTGGTGTGCAGCGGCGGGGAAGTCTACTTTTGTGCGCCTTTTGGAGCAGGAGAGCAATGACTGGGAGGTAGTACCAGAACCGATCGCTAGATGGTGCAACGTCCAAACATCAACCAGCGACTTTGAGGTATGTCTTCACTATAGAGGACCAATCCTGCCAGTAATACAGTAATAAATAAATGCTTAAAAAATGAGTATACAATTAATTGACCCCCAAAATACAATAAACAAATAAATGTAGGTAGAGATTAAATTATACAGTATAATAAATAATGATATATAAATACATATAATAAATAAATATTTAAAGAAATGAGTATTAAATAAAGTCAAAGAATATATAGTACAATTAATAAATAAGGTAATTATCACAAAGACAAATAAACAAAGAAGCTAATTAAAAGATATATATATGTATATATATATGTCTCATTGTATATTTTAATTTCTACCTTCATTTATTTGTTTAAGGTATTTTAGGGGGGCAATTAATTGTATGCTTATTTATTTTTGGAGCATTTATTTATTTCTGTTTTTATTTTTAATTATGGCAGGATTGGTCCTCCATATTTCACGCATAGTTACTGGACAATCAGTGGGGGGGGAAACCCTACTTATCTAAATTATTTTGTGACTATTAAGCCTGCACTATAAGAAGTGAAGGCTCCTTCAGAGAGCTGCTGAACCCCCATTTGACCATGTCTGCATAACAGGGAAGGTCCTCAGCTGTATTTAGAGCGCAGCTGCCATCTGTCCACATATCTGCGCTGGTTACAGTTAATATGACACACCCAAGGGAAACAGGTGGTTTCTGCACAGAAATGCACACCTGCAGCTCAAGCCTCCTGCTTTGACATGCACGCATAGTGGTCTGCAAACAGACACCGATCAGACAGGTTATAACCCTTGATTTCTGTACTTTTTTGGTTAAAAAGAACCGAACTGTGCTGTTAAAGTGGAACAGGAGTGGGCTACGGTTATAAAAATTGGCTAATTTTATTTCATATTTGTAAAAAAAAAAAAATACACTTTATTATTTAAGCTTTAAGCTAAAGTTAGAAAATTGTCCAATTTGACAACAATGAGTTTTTAATTCTGCTTTGGACTGGTGCACATGCTCCTTCATCTAGTATGGCGCCATCTACAGCCTAGATGTAGGAACTCTGTTTTTAAGCCCAGGTAAAGCTTTTTATTGACAAAAAAAATAACAATTTGTAGACAAGGGGCTGAAAATTGAAGAAAAAAATTATAAATCTAACTGGGTAGAGATTTATTTAAATAAAAAAGCAGCAAATTCTGCAGTGTGAAGAGGTAGATTTTCCACTGAAGGTTGGGGTTGGGTGACCTTATTATAAAGGTTATAAGGTTTCATGAAAGTCAAAAAAGCCCATTGATAGCAGAAGTTAATATTAAACTTATTGATGTTATCAGTTGATTTCAGTTATCAACAAATGGTTATAAAGGGCTATAAAATAATATGCTAGGACTATGATGTTGTCCTTTGCAACCAGGAGACTTTTTTTTATTGTCTTTAAACTCATCCTTTAGCTTCCTCACAGGTGCCTCTTTCTTCTGCTGTCATTCATTACCCTGACTGTATTTAAGGGCATATTTACAGTTCAACCAGGGTCAGTGGTCATTTGAGTTAATATCTCTTTAAGTATAAAGTGGGGAGGGGTGATTATTTAAGTTACCTGAGGAAAATTCTTCATTCAATCTTGGTTTCATTCTTAAGGAGCTGACCACCTCTCAGAGGAGCGGCGGAAACGTGTTGAAGATGATGTATGAAAAGCCGGAGAGGTGGGCATACACCTTCCAGAGCTACGCCTGCATCAGCAGGGTGCGTGCCCAGGCCAGATCAGCCAACGGCAAGCTCCGAGAGGCCGAGAACCCTGTGTTGTTCTTTGAACGATCCATCTACAGTGACAGGTATCGGGGTGTAAACAATGAGTAGTTTGATTCTGATCAATAAAACTTGTGACTTTTTTTCATCCAAGTTTTAAAGATGTGTGGCTAAATTGTGTCTGCTTTATTTCTGCAAGGTTTCACCAGCTTTTCTTAGTATGTGCTACATGACGTGACACATACTAAGTAAGAAGAATGTTTCCTGACAGGCATTCCGGCCTCATGTGTTCTTTATGTTTCAGGTACATATTTGCAGGCAACCTATATGAGAGCGAATGCATGAATGAGACGGAATGGTCCATCTATCAGGACTTGCATGGCTGGCTGCACAACCAGTTTGGCAAGCACATCGAGCTCGATGGCATCATTTACCTCAGAGCTTCTCCAGAGGTACTCTTCCACCCACTGATCGCTCTTTTACAAGTCAGAAGGAATGCTTGTTGAATGTTTAAACTGGTGTAAACAAATGAGATCATTTGCTCCTGTATCCTGCACATGTTTAGAGATGCTTGGAGCGACTGCACACTAGAGGAAGAGAGGAGGAACAGGAAATCCCCCTGGAATACCTGGAGAAGCTCCACTTCAAGCATGAGAGCTGGTTGCAGAATAAGACTATGAGGTGGGTTGCTTGGTGTAAAGCACCTGTGAAAATCATCGGTGCATCCTGATTGTTTAATTACTATGAATGGGCTTGCGTTTATTCATTTTGGGAATGAACAGTATCTTATTTACTGTCACCGCCCAACTGCCTCACATTTGAGGGTACCAGAGTTCCACTAGCTGCTAGGGGCCATTATATTTGACCAGCAGGGAGTCGAGCCTTGAAAATCCTTTAGGGCACTCAGAGCATGCAAATGGATTAAACATAATGACCCCCTCATGGCATCTCTATAGTTTCAGAGTCAGCCTTTTAGATGTAGGGAGGTTATTTTCTACTTATTGACTTTAAACACTACAGATAAGAGCAGTAATATCTTAAAGGTACACTGGTAAATGATAGTTGAATTGTTAGCTAGTTTGAAGAACCCAATAGATGGAGAAGTAACTGGTTGGCTTATCCATGTGAAGGTTNTATATATATACACGTTTTTTATGTACTACCTATAATCTTGTCACTAATTGGCTCTTAGACCTGCATTTTACAAATAATAATTCCCTCTTATACCACAAACATGTAAGAAGGCTTCTCAAAACAGAATTATGCAACACTGCAGTGGCTTTGAGTTCAATATTTGGATGGAAAGTCATAACAGGGTTTCGCATAACTCAGAAGATGCTTGTTGAGCAGTTTTCTGTTGATTGTAAACATGGAAACGTTGAGGTTTCTCCTGAAATTAAAAGCCGTTTGTTGAGCTAAAACAAGACTGTGACGCTTTCAATCAAGAAGATAAGAAGTGAATGTTGATGTCATCTGATAACTTTTTTTTTTTTGTTTTGGTTCTTTTTCAGGTGAAGGAGTTCTTGAGCACGTTGTGATGGAATAATGTTAATTCTGCCAAGAGGAAAGCAATTCGTGGAAGATTAAGAACAATGAAATACCCCAACATGATCACTTCTTTTTTTTTTTTTTTTTTTTTTTTTATAAGCTTGATTTTCTTTTATTTACCTGCAAAGAGGAAAACCCACTGCTGCCTGTTTTAAATTGGTTAATATTTTCTAATCTGTTTTGTATTTAAATCACGTTTTCTTTGGTTTTCCACATTACACCCTGCTTTGTGATTGACATACATGTTTTTTTATGTAAGTTTAAATTTGGTTTATCAAATCTGATCATAAACTGGGCCCTGATGCATAGAAAGCACTTTAACTGCTATTTGTATGTCAGCAGGATTAAATGAACATAGTTAACCACTAGTGATTTAAAGAATCAACATTTTTAAGTGTTTGTCTTAAATGTATCTATTTTTTTTTTTTTAGTTTCATTTTTGATTTTGTGTAGAAGACATTATTTTGGCTTAAGGTTTTATAAAGTGTTATACTTGTAAATTTGAGCTGGGAAAAGCAGGTAATCCTGATATAAAAATGTTCCTGGAGCCGTGGGTGTGACTAACTAGATGACCTTGATGGTCTGTCCTTGCAGCATGGAGTTTGAGTACCTCAATGATGTGCCTGTACTGACCTTGGATGTAAACGATGATTTTAAGCAGAACGATTCCAAGAGTGGCGACATGATTGAGAAGGTAAGTCGGTGTATTTTTACAGTACAGGAAGTAAGAACGCAAAATATTGTGATACCAAGGGAACAGAACAATTTTTACACGCTGATTAAGAATTGGTCACGTTGTTCTTATATTACTGTCAGGATCAGTCAAAACAGGAAGTGGAAGACTAGACCTGGTAGTAACTGGATGTCAGCATTGCTCACATTCTGCTGCCGTTTGCTCTTTGGAGAATGTCATGATGGTTCCTACTATAGCGGTTCCTTTTTTTTTTCGTATCACCTTAAGAAATCAGCAGGCATTTCAAAAAGGACAATAAGCAAGACTGAATAACATTCTTAAAAAAAAAAAGATGCTTAATAAAAACTAAATTAGCACATGACTAGAAAAAAAACTGTTAGGTTTAGTGTATCTTATATATAAGATACACTAAATAAGTATGTATGTATGTATATATATATATATATATATATATATATATATATATAAAAACTAAATTAGCACATGACTAGAAAAAAAACTGTTAGGTTTAGTGTATCTTATATATAAGATACATTACATAAGTATGTATGTATGTATGTATGTATGTATGTATGTATGTATGTATGTATGTATGTATGTATGTATGTATGTATGTATGTAGGTACATATGTATGTGTGTCTCTGTATGAAGACAGCCCAGGATACATACAAACATGTGTTGTTACAGGTGCCAATCTATCTGTCTGTCTGTCTGTCTGTCTGTAAATCCAACACATAAAGTATTTTACATAATGTATGTATGTTTGTAAGTATGTATGATTCCAGATTCCAGAACAGTTTCTTCCCCGCTGCCATGGTGAATGTTGTATAAAATGGGGTTATTAAAAAAAAGACTTCAACTCAGTCGTATGTTTACATTTAACACTGCTGCTCACCTTTTATCACTGCTGCACTTTCAAAAATAAAAATGTCTTGAGAGCTGTACTGAACGAAATTTATTTTTGTAATGTATGTATGTATGTATGTATGTATGTATGTATGTATGTATGTATGTATGTATGTATGTATGTATGTATGTATGTATAAATAAATTATTTTCACTCAAACAGTTTGCTTCAACTATGAGTTACTGGAACATTGAATTTTCCCTTTGGAATTAATAAATTGCTTGAATCTGCATTGAAATATATGAATGTATGGAGTTCAAATTGAAATAAATAAATAGATAAAATTGCATGATAAAAGTGATTTTTACCTCCTTAATAATAAACTTTGGTAAACAATTTTTTTGGCATCACATATGTCAATCAGTTTTCATANTATATATATACACGTTTTTTATGTACTACCTATAATCTTGTCACTAATTGGCTCTTAGACCTGCATTTTACAAATAATAATTCCCTCTTATACCACAAACATGTAAGAAGGCTTCTCAAAACAGAATTATGCAACACTGCAGTGGCTTTGAGTTCAATATTTGGATGGAAAGTCATAACAGGGTTTCGCATAACTCAGAAGATGCTTGTTGAGCAGTTTTCTGTTGATTGTAAACATGGAAACGTTGAGGTTTCTCCTGAAATTAAAAGCCGTTTGTTGAGCTAAAACAAGACTGTGACGCTTTCAATCAAGAAGATAAGAAGTGAATGTTGATGTCATCTGATAACTTTTTTTTTTTTGTTTTGGTTCTTTTTCAGGTGAAGGAGTTCTTGAGCACGTTGTGATGGAATAATGTTAATTCTGCCAAGAGGAAAGCAATTCGTGGAAGATTAAGAACAATGAAATACCCCAACATGATCACTTCTTTTTTTTTTTTTTTTATCAGTTTTCTAATGATCTGACAATTTGCACTGGTTTTACTGTTGCTTTGCTGTTTTTACTTTATTTATGAAATTATATGCATGGTTGTCAACCTTTTTAATAAAAGCTTTACCCTACCAAAGTGTGTGTGTGTTTCCACCTTCTGTTCACCCACATGTTGGTTCTGGTGTTTGAAATTTTTACAGCACCTTAACAGATTATCTGTGGGGTTAAGGGTAGATAAGTTTATCCACTCAAGCACATTTATAACATCTCAATAAACCAGGTATTTATCAGACTTTTAATCACACGATAAGTTTAATAGGCTTTGGCTTCACCAATCTGAAAAAGCTGTGGTTTTCCATATATTGACACCATTTTCTAGCACACCTTTTCCTTCCATCTAATTTTACATGTATATCCTTCCATGCAGGGCCCTGAACAGCCTTCCTCAAGCTTGGTTTCTTATATTAGAAACATGAACCAAGAAATATGTCTGAAGTTTTTAATTTGAGTTAAAGATTAACAGTTTTCTAGGCAAAACAGATTTTATTCCTATTCCCCCTTGTATTGTTTTGCAACAGGGCCATTAAATATAACAAGTCATTAAATTATTATTTTTGAAATTAAGGCTTTAATTGGCATTCAAATTCATTAAATGTGATTATCGTGGTATTTAAAATGCACTAAAAAAGTTTATAAAAACAATTTCCTCCGATATACTGTCCCAAAATTTGCGCCGAACTGCTTACGGTTGATCGTAAAGCCGTATGTTCGGAAAAGAAGCTCGAAGCGGAGAAAAAGCTAGAGAATGGGAAAATACTAATTTCAACAAAAGCGGATGGAAAACAAGGAATTCGGGACATGGCTGCAGCCTGTCGACAGTAAAGAGGATTTTGCTGTGTTTATATATATATATATATATATATATATATATATATGAGAGTCATGGGTACTTGTTGATGGCATTAAAATTATTTCTAGGAGCATTAAAAAGCTTTAAATTAGAGTTACTTATTCTGGAATAGAGCATGTTCAAGTATCACTTAAAAATGCAATCAGTTGACTGTTCATACTCCACAAAAAGCACAAAGAAGTTTTAGCCCCCCACCCATTTGCCAAGAAAAAACCATTTTTTTATTATCTTTCTAAACATTCAGTAAGATTAAGGTCTATAAAACTTATATATGTTTCATGCATTTCCGAATAAAATAGTTGTAATTTAGAAATGAATGATTATAAAGCCTAACCTTATTTTGAGGCTGGTCACCCCTCAGTGTGTGCAGCCCTGGGCAGAGAGCCATGTGGTCCATAATAAAACTTTTGACTTAAAATTGATTCCAATTTCCTGAGGTGCACCTATAGTTCTAATAGAAGGTGTCGCCAGTCTTAATTCAAACCCTTTTATCTGATTATTCGACCTTTATTTGGAGCAAACAAGATAATAAAGCATTTACCTTTTTATTTATTTTTTACTTTTATTTATTTTTGTTTTTACAGTCATTAGAATAATAGCCAAAATAAAGTCTGGTTTAGAATAGGATGTAATATAAATCTCGGTCCCCTCCATGATATCTTATATCCTTGTTTGTCCAGATTTATGTGCAAAGAATTGAAACAAAGCGCTTCCAAATGCCGGGAAATTAAATTGATTAAACAATAGAGGAGCAATTTGTCAAGTAGAGGCATCTGGAGCGCCACCCACGAGTGACCTCCGCCCCCATCCGTGGCGTCACGCAGGAGGAGGGAAGGGACGTTAAATATGGAAAACAGACACGCAGTCCACGGAGACTCCACGCGCCCACGACGCTCCGCATTTCCTCAGCGTGTCGCTCCGGGACGAGCTCAGCCAGATAATGAGGATTGCGCGTCCTGCTGCGCACAGTTTGGTTCATCGAGTCAAAGAGATCATCCCCGCCAGATAGCCGCACTTCTTCCCTCTTTGTTTGCTTTCATTAGATATATATTTATATTTTTGTTTCTTAAATAGAAAAGGAAAACAAATAAAGCAACTGGAGGTGACAAAAGTCCACCGAGTACAAAGCTTGATCATCTCCGAGGAGGAAACTTGTCGCCATGAGTTCCGATAAGAGCAAGTAAGTTTACAATCTGTTGCGTTTTTAAGAGGAAGAACTCCGAGTGGAAAGTTTACGCGCACATCTGATCCTCATCCAGGTTATTTAACAAGTAAATATCAGATATTCTGTGATTAATTATAGAGCTTTGACTGTAGTCTGTCTTATACCTGAGTAAAAAAAAGCGTGGGTTGTTTAACAAACTAAGAGCGATCGAAGGAAAAAAAAAGTATTTTGGAAAAAAGTCCCCTTAGATAAGCCAGTGTTCCTTCACCGCTATGCCTATGAATGGACTGTAATCTATTTTCCAAGAACCTGTCACTATCAATTAGAAAGACGCAGCGATGGATGGATCATCTGCTCTACATCTATGAATCAAGCAGTGCGCGCGCCTCACTGCGAACGCGCCTTCATATTAGATTTCAAATCTTCTATCCAGATTTTTATTTGAGTCATTAAAAAAAACAAAACAGATTTGATAGTGTGATTTTAAACATCCATACAATAGGGTATAACAGTCTTATAATAAAAGGCAGTTAATAGTTTAAGACAGGAGACACTAGAAGTAAAGCATCAGTGGCGGTTCTAGACCAAATGTACCAGGGGGCCAGGAGGGGGCCCAGCGTTTTTTCATGGGGGCACAGAAAAGCCTGGAATAAAAAACAGGCTTAGGGATTCAAATATATTATTAATATTATTAAGAGAGTTGCATGAAGTGAAATATCTATTCAATTAGGTTTAATTAAAATTCTGTCTTATTAGGTCAATATACATTCATAATTTAGGAAGTTTACGTAATTTTTGCTTAATTTAAGTAAAATTACTGTTCTCTTTTTTTATTATAACATTTTTATTAGTCTTGTTTTTTTAGTAAAAAAAGAAAAAGAATAGAGAA